CTCAATTTCCATGGCAACTCTAAATCCATCACACTATATTTGTATATGGGAGTTTGATTTAAATACATTAATATATGTGAATTTGCAATGTGTCTAAGCTGTGGTTGCTATAGTAACTTCACATTCAAATTTCCTTTTAAGTTTAGTTAAGTGCTCACATCTAAAAACTGATCCCCTACACAGTTATCTCGAGTTGCGGATATGGCTCATAGCAATAAATTTACAAACATCATGACTCATGATGATGTACACACTTAACGAATATCTATCATTATGAAAATGTGTATTTTAATACATGCTTCTTGTTGGTAAATCAAAAGCAATTCAAGATGCAATTCCTCCAAGTGTAGATAGAATAAGACTTGCCAGGAAGGTATCCACTTACATGACAGCCTCTACTTAACACTGAAGCTTGTTACGGTCCAGTTAAGTCACTCAACTACACACAGACACCAGTGGGCTCTGCGGCTTCTCTGAATCCACAGAACATCTTGTGTCTGTACTAAAATGGCAGAAAAATCTAGCACATTCTCACAAAAACAGAATGTACCAAATATGTGGAGTGCAACCCTTTTATACATGGCTATATAAGTGTCTACATAAGTAGTCTGTATGATGTAAAAAATGCTTTCTTGCCAATGAGACAGTCCTTTCTTAGTTATCAACATGAGGATAATCCATTCCATGGTCACTTTTCACTCTAACACAGTCCCTGTGCCACATGATGCTCTTGGACCTTCCCCTTACCGCTCTTAATGTATTATTGTCAGGACATGCAAGTTAATTTTCATATTAATCTAAAAAAATATTTTGGGAGAGATAAACCCACTGCACAATGAATCGCTTATTCCAAAGCCAAAATGAAAAAAAATAATTCAAGGCCATCTCATCTCTCGTGTTCAATTATATCAACCATTGCCTGTTTCCACTAATACAGATAATTAAGAAATGACCAAGCTTAGAGGTGGGAGCAGAAATTACTACTGGGTGCTACTGACCCAGCATTACTGTGAAACAACTGTGATAGAGAGAGGTGAATTTCCCAGACAGCTGGCCCTCACCCTCATCAATCACTTTCATTTGTCTTACATTTGGGATGGACAAAATCCGACTTGTGTATGAAGAAAATGGCCTTGAATGAGTTCAGACCAGAGGCAGGGGAGCCAGTTGGAGTCGAAAGCAGTTCATGAGGGAGATGATTATAAATAGAGGATCTCAGGAGTTGGAAGGGAACTCTGAGTGTATGGATGAGTGCATGCTGGTGGCATACAGACCCTGAGGGCTACGCAGATGCATGGGGCGATTGGATTCTGTAAAAAGATCTCAGGCTGCTGGGCTGTAGAGTAAGGTTCTGGTAAGTATTTTTGGCTCTAGTTTTACTAATTCTTGCACTTCCTATTGATGTCAGTGTACTCCTTGCCCCAATAAGTTATGTGCTTGAGAAACCATATCCCCACGTTTGTTGTAATTATGTCTAAACTAAGAAAGAGCAAATAGGCTCTGGATAAATGTCCTAGAAACTCTCTTTTGTGTAAAAAGTAAAGTGCATGAATTTATAGCAGATTTTACAACACCTATTCCGACTTTTAGAAGACAATTTGGCTTACATTTTCTTGACTGTATTCCCGAGAGTTGGATTTATGACCTTTAGAAAAATGAGGTCCTCACTATACTTATACGACCCTTGCTAGTATAACTTTTAAAACAATATTCTGCATGTGATGTATACCTTGCTGTAATTTTTTCCATAGTTTTACTACCCCACAATGTCCAAGAGTCACAACATATTTTCTGAAAAACAGCCTGACTGATTTGGCTTCTGAAAATATCCTTTCTCCCTGATTAAGACCAATGAGCTAACCATGGTCCAAGGTATCAGGAACCCGTGTCTCAGGAATTACTGCCTCTGGAACATTAAAAACCAAATTTATTATCTGTTGACGTTAATGAGTTTCCTGAGCTTTAAGCTCTGGAAAAAAAAATATGTCTCTTTCAGGTTCTTTCTATCAAAATGGCACAGGTTTCTCTGTGGCTTTTGTGAAAGACAGATGAGGGAATTCCTAGAAAACGAGGCCGAGGCAGCCTAATGACAGCTCTGTGTGAGGGAGTAGAAGGGTTGGTGCCAATTTAAGGACACATTATGATTGCAGAAGACAAATATTCTGAGGCCTGTCCAATTTCACTACTTAAAACCTGAAAAAGTGGCAACTGAGTTTCAAGATGAATCTGTACAGCGATAGAAGAAACCGTCCGATGAGAAACACCAGCCACCTTTGGTTTTCTCATCTTCTCGTCCTCCCACTCCACCAGCCTGCTGAGTCCCGAACTCTGGAGAAAACACCCCCCTTCCTAGCTCCTGGACTGATGAAAGTTTCTGACAAAAGTTGAAGACCATTTGAACCGTCATAAATTTTTGTTCCCCAAACTTTTTGTGGCTTAATTTGTACTCAACTTTCCCTCAGCCCTTTTGTTTCAAAAAAAAAAAATATTCTCTTTCCTTTCCACTGATGTCCTTGACCTCATTTTCTCCAGTTTCAAGGTCATGCTCCACCAATTTCCCCTCCTTTTCTCTACTTTCAATTATTGCTTCTCCACGGACCTTTCTCCCATCTTACAAACCTGCTGGCAGTGCTCCGTTCCAAAAGCAAAACCTGAACAATAACATGACCGTTCTCCCTCCAATGTTTACTTCCTGAAGCTACTGTCAGCTTTTCCCCTGACATCAACAAAATGCTTTTATTTTGCTCAGTTTTTTCCTGACAAGTGTGGTGAGGGTGGGACCTCCTCTTGCCATGTTATGCCCTCCAGGTCACTGCAGTGTATGCACTCAGCATTTTAACAGACCGATTCTCCGAAGGGTTACTAATCACCTCCTAGGAGTCAGATTTCCTTGGCCGAGTTTCAGGCCTCATCCTATTTGATCTTTCCACAATTAATTTTTGGCACTGTGGTGATCGGTCTCTCGAAATTGCTTACTGTTTGTTCTCTGCTGCTGAGCTTACCTGGTTTTCCCCAGGATGTTCATCTTTTTCTCAGCTTCCTCTTTTTCTTATCTCTAAAGTGTATGTATTCCCAAAGATCTGTGCTTAGTCCATTTTATTTACATTCATTCTCCCTATGGCTTCAACGTTGGATTTTATGCCATCTCGATGTCCCTCCTCTAATTCCTCAACCCATTACTGGTCCCATCATCCCACTGAGTGACACCCAAGTTGAGAAATCAGCAGACTCTCCCAGTCCTCAATTCACTCGACTCCTCAGCAGGTTTAGATGCTGATGCCCATACTGCACCCTTCCTTCCGCTTCCCTGACGTGTTGTTCCCTCATTTCCTTCTGTCTTTCTGGTCTCTTCCCTGCTCCTATGCAAGCACTTCCATCCTACTCAGACAGTAATGTTGGCGTTCCTCGTGGCACTCACCCCTTCTTTTTTTTTTTTATCCTCACCCGAGGACATTTTTTTTTTTTTTGTTCAGGTAGAGTGGGAGGGAGAGAGAGGAAGAGAGAGAGAGAGAGAGAGAAACATCGATGTGAAAGGGACACATCGAGTGGCTGCCACCCGCACGACCGACCAGGGCCGGGGACAAACTGCAACCAAGGTACATGCCCTTAGCGGGAACCGAACCCGGGTCTCTCGGGACCGCAGGCTGATGCTCTAACCGCTAAGCCAAACCGGCCAGGGCAGCACTCACCCCTTCTCACTCAGTCCTCACGTCCAGTTTCAATTACAGGGACATGTGGAAGACCCACATCTGTTTACCTCTAGCCTAACACGTCTTGGAGTTCCAGACATGTGCGTGCATTGTTTAATCCCAGCATTGTCATAACCATTTCTAATCCATCCTGATTGGAGGTTCAGCATAAAGAAGGAATTTGTGTTATTTACAAAATTAAGGTTACTGATTTAACAGGCTGTTTAACTGTCCACAACTCGTGTTTATAATAATGACCCTAAGTTTAAAAGAACACTCTGGTCTGGCCGGTGTGGCTCAGTGACTGAGCATCGACCCATGAACTAAGAGGTCGCCAGTTCGATTCCCGGTCAAGACACATGCCCAGGTTGTCCAAATCCCCACTGGGGGGCATGCAGGAGGCAGCCAATCAGTGTTCTCTCTCATCGATGTTTCTATCTCTCTCTCCCTCCCATTTCCTCTCTCTCTAAAATCAATAAAGAAAAAAAAACTTTATAAAACCTCTTATTAAAAAAAAAATAAATAAGGAAAAGAACACTCTGCTTGGTAAAGTCTGTTTCTTAGACCAAAGATGTTTATAATATATAGGGTGTCCCCCCAAATGTATACACAACTTTGAATAATTATAAAGCCAGTATTTATTAAAATACATTTCATTTTCAAAATGTAATAGAATCAATGTACAGACACCCTATATACATTTTTGGGGGACACCCAGTATTTTAGAAAGATTTTTATCCATAAAAGTTTTAAAAACTTAAAGTTCTAGGTATTCATCCTCAATAACTTCACTTTTGGACAAAGCTGGGTAAGTGAGTCTTGCTGAATATCATCACATAAAAATTGCCCCTTACAGGAGATAGGATGTAGATTTCATGATAGACCTTTGAAGGACTACAGATGATTTGTACATAAAAGCACAAATCGGTTCATAGTCTGATATGTACCGCTAGCAATTAGGCAGTAAAAATATTTCAGTCAAAAGCTAAACAAACTAGTTGAAATTTCTCAGGAAAAAAGACAACAAAAATGAAATCTATCCCTGAAGTACCGTTTTAACACACAGCTTCAGTGATTTAAAGTAGACAGCTCTTCCTTTGTGATAGTTAAATCACAATCGTTAGACTTTTAACAGAGAGGTCACTGCGAGGAAGAGAAATGTGGTCAGACAGACAACAATAAAAACCGTCCAGAGGCCTTAAGACGCTGACTACTAGAAGAATTAATGAAACCAATGAGACGCATAAGAGGGCCTGAATGGAGGGCCATTTTCTAAAATGACAGTGACCCCAACTTTCACTGCCGCGTTACCTGCTGTGGGGGAGTTGGCGTGGTGAGACTTTTTCGGCAGGTTGAAGATCTGCTCGCCGGGGTCAGGGGGAGGAATTGCATCTTGCCCTTGTCGTGCTTCTACAGGGTCATACTCCTTCCCGTCGTAGTTAGCATCATAGAATTTCTTAAACCACTGAATAAAATCCAGGTTGTCCTGGAAACGCCCTTTCACTAGCTTCTCCACTGGAATTACCTGCAATGTAAAACCACCGTGTGAGTCACCAACCTGGGGTTTGTTTGTATTTTATACAACTGAAGTGGCCCCTAAATATAACTGCTTCTACAATGTCTACAATTCACAACTGCTGGTCTCTCCCCAGCTTCTTAGCCAGCTGTTTTCTAGAACTTATATACTTTTTCACTGTATTGAAAAAAATAAACTAAAATGCTATCTATAGTTGGTTTTCTTGAAATAGTTAATACTTCTGAACAACCTGACAAAACAAGGAATACCCTTTACTGTCAAGAGGGGCCAATCCTCTATCTGTAGTATCCTTATTGCCAAAGCACCTCCCTCAAAACACGAGCCTGGAATGTTGTGCTGTTTCAAGATTGATGGGTTTTCCTTATTTTTTTTGTAGCCCTTGGTCCAGTGGTATTGGAATAAACCCTTAAAAGGATTACAGCTACAAGAGAGTGTAAATAAATGACTCAAATCAATGCAAATATATTCCCATCTAATGGTTTAAAACGAGCCTTCACAGGCAGGGCTTAGTAACAATGTAGAAGGAGAAGCAACAAAACTAACCACCCAGTGCAGGGCCCCGTACTTCCTGGGGTACAGGAGCACAGCTATGTGCCGTGGGAGTGCAGAGGAAAAGAAATGGAGGCTGATTAGAGGAGTCGCAGAAGGCACTCTGCAGGAGGAGGTCACAGCATTCACCTCCACTTCGGAGGTGAATCTCAGCTTTTCCTTTTCTGCTGGCAACTGAAGGAGCTGATCAGTGTTCCCTTCAGAGGTCTTACAGGAACCTTCATCTTATGTCACAAAAATGTGTGACTGCTTAGCTTTAATTCAGTGGGTAGCTACTTTTGAAGGAAAATGGGAAGGTGCCTTGCTATATCCAAACTGCACCATTACCTGATTCTTACTTCCTCATCTCTGGGTTGGCATACTAGTTGAATGTGAGCCATGGGAGTTATAAATCTAGGGAGTGAGTCAGATTGTGTGTATGCAACTGTGTGTGAGTGTGAGATTCAGACAGAAACCCAGCGCTTAAAGAACACAGTGCATTGTGTAATGATATGAACGGGAACTGTATAAATTAAACTTTCAGCAAGACTTTGCCACCTCAGGAGATATATACCACTGGTATCCTAACATGGGTCATTAGGACCACTTTAAAAAAGTAGGAAGGCCTTGCCCAGCTGGTGTGGCTCAGTGGACTGAGCGTCAGCCCATGGACTGAGAGGTCCCGGTTCAATTCCCAATCAGGGCACATGCCAGGGCTGCAGGCTCAGTCCTCAGTGGGGAGCGTGCAGGAGACAGTCGATCAATGTTTCTCTATTACATCGATGTTTCTCTCTCTCTCTCTCTCAAAAGTCAATAAAAATATTAAAAAGAAAGTAGGACGACCTCAAATATCAATGAAAACTTGAAAGAAAAAAAATAACCAAAACATTTAAAGGCATCCCTTAAACTAAATTTTTAGCAATACATTTTTTTCAAAAATGATTTTTATGCAGCTAAAATTGAAACTAAGTACAGAACAAAATAAAGAGAAGCTAACTTTTGGAAGAGACCACATTTTCCATGAAGACTCCAGTAATGGGGGCCTGGGTGCTGATACCGTCTCTCCTCTCACCCCCCCCTCCCCGAACTTGAGGGAATCTGCCAGTGGAAGAACTCCTTCCACACGTGCACTTAATTGACTTTTCATTGTGCTGTTTAAATATTTTCATGTCTTCTGATTCATAGGTTTTGTTTATGCTGATATTGAATGTTTAAGAAAGCGCCTTCTTTGTGCATAAGGCCCTTTAATTAACATGCTATATATTTTGCTTTCTGCCAAACATGAAAATTTATAAGCAGATTTAGATGTTGGCGCTACACTGGCCATTCCAAGTAGGCACTTACTTCCACTGACTGAATCTTGCGTTCCCTATCAAAATGCAAGTTCCAGGCATAAGGTCACAGTCTGAAGTGGCAAGTAAATCTTTGCACAGAAGCCTCCTGTATGCTGACAGGCTGTGGCAAATGTGAGCAGGGACCACTGTCTGTCTCCAAGGACTTTTGGGTAGAATCACAGCATATTAAGCTAGAGAGGCCAACAAAGGCCACCAAGGCCAGTCTTCCTCCACTATAAGAATTTTATCTTCAATATTCTTAACAATGGCTTATCTATTCTGTATGCATATACTTCTAGAGAGATATGGAACTCCTAATTTATTATCTAGTATGTTCCAGCAATAAACATATAAAAGGGTGTTATTATTTTCAGACTAGCAGCATATATTGAAAAATGAATGAAAAAGACATCAGTGATGCTGCTTATAAATAAGGAGAACCTGTACAGCTCTGGTTTTGAAGGAGCTAACTGAAAATTAACTACAGCCAAGGACATAACAATAAAGTTGAAAAGAATTAGAAAGGTTATGATGTCAAAGAGAATGTTTTGAAATAAAAATTGTGAGAAAATGAGAAACCAAGATTTTAATAATAGTTTGATAAGGATGTTTTGATTTAGAAAGGTATTAATTGCATTAAATTGAAAATACATAGTTTGCCAAACTTTTCTCTTTTCCTTTATTTAACCTCTGTTTCTTAATAACCCAGGTCTTTATTTTTCATTTCCATAGCCTATTTATTGCTATTACCTATGCAAAGAAAAGTTTTCCATTTCTCCCCTGCTGGTTTATTTCTTTCCTCTTATTCAAATTAATCCCCTAAGAGATATATCTCCCAAAATAATATGACTTGAATATGTATATGAATGGTAGGAAACACTCTAGGACAAAATTATAAAATTCAAAGGGGAAAAAAGGACAATTTATGGACACTGACTGAGAATCTGAGTGTATATATTATGTTAGATATTTTCACACATACTCCCTCATTTCAACTTCATATAACCACAGGGAAGGGGGTTTTAGTCCTATTTTATAGATAGGTAAACTGAGATTCAAGGAATTTAAATAACTTGCTCAACTCATGGAGCTTGGATTCACACCCATCTGCTTCCACTATAACCTGCTGTTTCTCCAAAGGAACAAAATATACAAAAAGCCACAGTGGCATCTGGCAAACATAAACATTTGTTATTTGCAATGCAAACATTTGTAATTCATGTTAGGGATTTTAGTCTAATGGCTACAAGTTTAGAAATCTTAAATAAAATACGGGAAGTTAGGGTTGATACTTTCTGCTTTGTACAGACCCCAACCTACTGCTGAGACATCAAGATATATCCCACTGATACATATTTATTTTTACATTTCTGCACAAAAACAACTCTAAGGAAAGAAAATGCATTTAATTGAGGTACAGGTTAGTCTCCTACCTTATCAACATTCATTCGCTTAAATGATGCTTGCAGAAGTTTAAAATTGTGAATATACTCATGTTCCAACTTGGCTTGAAATTTTACTTTCTTCAAACTAATGCAGCCTGGGAAGAGCATGTCCATGAACTGGCAATAGGCCGCTCCTGGAAAGAGACAAGAAAAAGTACTGGCGTGAGTCTTCCTGTCCGCAGGTGCCACTGAGGACTGCTAGGCAGGAAGGAGCTGTCATCACACGGAGCCCTCCTAGCCATCTGTGCCCCTCTCCTCAGAGGGAAGGACAGTGCCTCAGTGAAGCTCCTGCCACCTCCCCATTCCTCCGCACTGTGGCATTGACACCGTGTTCGCCACAGCATCTCCAGATGTCACGAGCAATGAACACAACCTCATAACTAATGTCAAAGAAATTGGGGTAAAATAACTCTTAGCTTCTACCAGAAAAAAATGAACCTATTTTGTCTTTCATTTAGCTCCGAGTCATCAAAATATATAAATGTAAGGAAAAACTAGCAGAAACTTAAACATGAGGAAACTACTAAAGCTCTCATGAAATGAGCAGCTCAGAAAAATACACACATGCCCAAGCTGTTTTACATCCATCTCACAAAATGGCTTAGGTGAAACTATAACTAAGCCATCTAATACCAAAAACAGTTGTATACCAATTTAATTCCAGTCCAGAGCAATGGGGTTCCCATATTAACATGAAGGATGGAGACTCTGAAACCTACAGAAGTTCAGAGTCATGCTGTTTATGACTGAGGAACAAAAATAACAAAAATGTTCAATGAATCTCCTGAGGAAAAGTCATAGAAAAAAAGGTTTATTAGGAAGTCTGATTTTTTTTATGAAGAACTCTTAGATCATGACAATTTCAATTAGAAAATTCTTGCCAGATTATGTTGACTGATTTGCATATTTTTTATAGTAAAGTTTAAAGGCATTTAGGAAAAGAAAATTTAAAGCCAGAATGATTCCTTTTCTTTTACGAGGAAAACAACTGAAGGCGGCCATTTCTGTGTTCTCTCCTTCCTTCTGGGCTTCTCCAGCTCTCTTGGTCTGCTTCTGTAATGCGACAATAGGCTTTCTGGGACACAAGGGGTTCCTTTTATCCTGAGGCATCAAGGTTCCTGTGAAAAGTCTTTCATTCCATTTAGGCGACTCACCTTTACATAGGAAGAACCCACTGGGTCTCTTATGTCAAATAGATGTGAGCATCCTTTATTGAGATCTATCCAAGATCAGAGGGAAGGGGATTATCACGGCTTAGTCTAAAGGCTGCTAGGCCAGGAAATGGTGGAGCAACTCATTTACAGATAGGAGCATAAAGTGATGAAGTATCGTCCACAATAAATGTCCTGCAAAACCCTTTTTTTTGTTTATCCTCACCCAAGGACACTTTTGCATTTATCTTCAGATAGGGCGGGAGGGAGAGAGGGGGAAAGAGAGAGAGAGAAACATCGACATGAGAGAGACACATCGACTGGCTGCCACCCACACGACCCCAACCAGGGTCGGGGACAAACTGCAACCGAGGCACATGCCCCTAGCGGGAACCGAACCCGGGACTCTCTGGTCCGCAGGCCGACACTCCAACCGCTGAGCCAAACCGGTCAGGGCTCTTGCAGAACCTTTACCTCTGTGATTTTTCCCCTTAGATGCCAGTAACCTAAACACTAACTAGTCTATCTCTCATCAAGCAGATGGGTTCTCTTAAAAACAAGACCAATAAAAAATAAAAATAAAAAAAAAACCCAAACAAAAAACATCAGAGGAGGTAAGAGAAACATCATGATCTCTGGTGTGTTCTTATAGTCATCATCCAACTATTCAGTTCTTCTTTTTGAAGTGCCACCAGATGGAATGAATTCCAATGGCCATTTTAACATTATTTTTATAGAAATGGGGATGTCTTGCCCTGGCCACTTTGGCTCAGCAGTTAGAGCATTGGCCTGTGGTCCAGAGAGCCCCGGGTTCGGTTCCCGCTAAGGGCACGTACCTCCGCTGCAGTCTGTCCCCGGCCCTAGTTGGTCGTGCGGGTGGCAACCACTCGATGTGTCCCTTTCACGTCGATGTTTTTTTCTCTCTCTCTCTTCCTCTCTATCCCTCCCACTCTATCTGAACGAAAAGTGGAAAAATGTCCTCAGGTGAGGATTAAAAAAAAAATGGAGGTGTCTAAGTACAATAGTATCATTATCTGCTCTTTCAAGAGTTATTTTCACTTGTGTAGAGTTTAACATAAAATTTACCTATGAGTCAGATATCTTTGTAGTCTTACAAAGAACCAACCAAATCACTCACTTTAAAAATTTAAAAATAGCTCTTGAAAAAAACAACAATAGTAAACTTCAATAGAGGGAGGGAGAGTGGCAGGCAGGAAGAGACTGAAGGAACAAGAGGAGAAGGGCAGGCTCGTTCTAGTCATTATCCAGAGAAAACCTCTGTTTATGTTCTGGTATGTTCTTTTAAAAAAAATTTAATAGACCATGAGTCCCTTTCTGAGTCATATAATATTCTTTTTTAAAAAAAATTATTTGTATTAATTTATTTTTGCTACAGATGTTTCTCCTTTTTCCTCCATTGACACCCTCCTCCCCCTCCCAGCTTTGTTGTCCATGTCTATTGGTTATGCACACATGCATATAAGTTCTGTGGTTCATCTCTTCCTCCCCACCACCCCTTCCTCCATCTGAGGTTTGCCAGTCTGTACCCCACTTCTATGTCTCTGAGTCTATTTTGTTCAGCAGTTTTTTAAGTTCATTATATTCCACAAATAAATGAGATCATGTGATATTTGTCTTTCTCTGCCTGGCTTGTTTCGCTTAGCATAATACTCTCCAGGTCCCTTCATGTCGTCTCAAAGGATAAGAGATCTTTCTTTCTTACAGCTGCATAGTATTCCATTGTGTATATGTACCACAGCTTTTTTTATCTACTCATCTACTGATGGACACTTGGGCTGTTTCCAGATCTTAGCTATTGTAAATAGTGCTGCTATGAACATAGGGGTACATACATTCTTTCTGATTGGTGTTCCAGGCGTCTTAGGGTATATTCCTAGAAGTGGGATCACTGGGTCAAATGGTAGTTCAATTTTTAATTTTTTGAGGTAACACCATAGTGTTTTCCATAATGGCTGCACCAGTCTGCATTCCCACCAGCAGTGTACTAGAGTCCCCTTTTCTCCACACCCTTGCCAGCACTTGTTTGATGATTTGTTGATGGTGGCCATTCTGACAGGTGTGAAGAGATACCTCACTGTTGTTTTAATTTGCATCTGATGATTAGTGATGTTGAACATTTTTTCATATGTCTCCTGGCCATTTTTATGTCCTGTTTGGAGAGGTGTTCATATAATATTCTCTACTGACATTTTTAATGGCTTTCTTATTTTTATATCATGCTTAGCAACTTTCCCAAACCAAGAGTACACATTCACATGTATTTTCTTCAAATACTTTTATGGTCTCAAGTTTTACATTTACATTCTAAATCCATGTGGAATTTATTTTGGTCTATGATACATACAGGATGGTTCTAATTTTAGTTATTCCAAATGTTAGTAGAAATCTGTCATTTTTGGCTCTCCAACATTTGGACACCTCCCTACCTGCGTTGATGCTACAGTGCCCTGCCTCCCATCACAGTAGCAAAAGTGGGCAGACATCCCTTTCCCCACCCCCAGCAGTCAAGAGGCAGGCCCGTGACCCAGGATCTGCATGTGGATGCTTGGCTGGGTCTCAGGGTCTTGAGGGAGTGACAAAAACATGCCGGGACCATGATAATGTAGTTATAGTGGCAGTAGTGGGGTCGGAGAACTGAAATGGCAACACAGCACCGTGGCATCCTAACCATCCTTGTCCAGTGCCACAAGGCAGGTTCTCTTCCTGGATCCTTAGCATCTGTTTGTTGCTGTCATTTTCTGAGCTTGGTTTCCCACTGATACTTAGTTACCCAATATCCGCCCTTTAAATGCATATTTTGCTCAAGCTTGCCAGGATTATCTTCTGTTATTTTCAACCCAAAATGCCAACTGATAAAGCTAGCTAAGTGTTGAACACCATGATTTCACAAATGACCTATACTTTCCCCACTGAGAAACAGTATCTTTATTATATATTATTTTCCTAATACATGCATTTAAATCTCTTTCTAGACTTAAATTTTTTGCCTGTCCTTGTGTTAGTTATATATTCTTCATTATTTAAACACTACACTAGAAATGTATTACTATCTGTAGAATAATTTTGCCTATCCTCTTAAAATTTTCTTAAATTTTATCATGCATTTATCCTTTTCTGATATTTTTAATTTGTCACTCATGGCATATAGAAAATTGAATGTTTAAAAAATTAGTCATTTACTACTTAATAGCAGAGCTTTATTAATTCACATATCACAAACTTCAACCTTTTAAAGTATATTTAGTGGTTTTTAATATAGTCACAGAATTGAGTACCCATCACCACTAATTCCAGAAGATTTTAATTACCCCCCCCCCAAAAGAGTCATGCCTATTAGCAGCTATCCTCTATTCTCTCTTCCTCCAGGCCATCATAACCACTGATCTATTTCTCTCTCTATGGATTTGCCTAATTTTGACATTTAATATAAATGAAATCATGAAGTATGTGGCCCTTGTGTCTGGTTTCTTTCACTTAGCAAAATCTTTCAAGGTTCACCCATGTTGTGGTGTGTATCAGAACTTCATATTCCTTTTATGGTTGAATAATATTCTATTGTAGGTATATAGCACATTTTATTGATCTATTTATGGTGATGGGTTATTTTCATTTTTGGGCCATTATGGACAATGCTGCTATGAACATTTGTGTACAAGGTTTTGCAGGGACATAAGTTTTCAATTCTCTTGGGGCATACCTAGGAAGAATATGGTAAGTCTATATTTAACATTTTGAGGTACTGCCAAATTGTTTTTTGCAAAACAGGTGTACTTTTTCGTTGTTGTTAATCCTTACCCGAGGACGTTTTTTTCCCATTGATTTTAAGAGTAGGAGGGAGGAGGGGGGAGGGGAAGGGGAAGAGAGGGAGAGGAAGGGAGAGAGTGAGAATGAGAGAGAGAGAGAGAGAGAGAGAGAGAGAGAGAGAGAGACAGAGATATGTGAGAGACACATCGACTGGTTGC